AGCGGCTGGGAAGTGAGGTGGGAGGCGTGTGCAGGGAGATGAGAGGGAGCTCAGCTGTGTGTAGCATGTTGCAGGCCGGTCGACGGGCTTGGTACTCTGAGTAAGGTGAGGGGTGACAGTGTGACCATGTTGCCCGGCTCCTGGACTGAGAATGACTGTAGTGCAGTAAGGGGAGAAAGAGGACCGCCTTGGAGGCTACTGCTGTATTGAGGAAATCAGAGGATGGTTTGGACAAGTGTGGGAAGAGGATTTGCTGACAGATTGGATGTGGGGTGAAAATAGAGGAGCCTGGCACAGCCGTGGTGGCGTAGCTGCAGTGCAGCGCTCAGCAATGCCGAAAGCCATATGGGCGATGGGGATTCGGTACCCAGGTCGACTCGCGCATGCCAGACGTGTGGGTGTGCCTGTGATCCTGGCTGGCTGGGAAGGCTGGGGGAGGATTGCAGCATGAGAGCCTGTCGAGGATGCTTTTTCCTCTAAATAAATACTTAAAAAGTAGAGGAGTCTAGGATGAGCCTAAGGTTTCTGGCCTAGACAAGTGGAAGAGTGGAGTTACTATGTTCTGACATGGAGGAACTGCCGATAAAGAAGGCTTAGGATGGGGTGAGAGCCAGGAGCTCACTTTGGGACTTACGGAGCTGGAGGTGCCTGCCTATTAGACATTAGAGAGGAGATGTCTAGCTGACATTTGAGTATAAAGTTTGGAGTCCACGTAAGAGATCTGGGAATCACCATCGTATAGGTGTTATTTGCTTTTAACCCCTCTTTAAGACAAAATTTCTTTTAAAAAACCTTATTTAACTTTTTTTTTGTTTGTTTATGTATTTATTTACTTTAATTTGACCAGAGAGGGACAGAATAAGAGAGGGAGAGAGAGAGGGAAACTGAAAAAGCAAGCTACCAGGTCCGGGACTTGAACCACAGTCGGCCATGCGGGAGTCCAGCACCCTTAACCACCACACCACCTGCCAGCCCCTTAACATAAAATTTCAACACATACAAAAATAGAATTGTATAGTGATTCCTCACCCAGCATCTAGCTTTAACAACCATTGCTTCCTGCTG